GCGTGTGTGCGGGTGTGTGTGTGTGTGTAGGGGGGTTGAATGTTGTTGCTGTGGATGTTGCTGTGGATGTGGCTGTGGATGTGGCTGTGATTGTTGTCATGTGCGGGTTATGTTGATGTCGTTCTCGGTGATATTAGCTGTGCTGCCTCGAACAACGAGCACAAGCCCGTTCACAAGTGTGTTTGTGATGGGCAGGCACACAGGGCGCAGGAGGATTTCTCCACGTTTACACTCGATGACGTGGACCAAGCCTTTGACAACATCACCCGCATCAAGTACTCGCAGACCGTCAACCTTCCCGGTGAGTCGCTAAACGACTGGAGCTTGCTGAAGCACTCTATGATATGTCCACCCTGTTCGCTCCTCGTATCAGATGCTGTGTGCGCTCACCATATGTTTGGTCTACCATCTCCTGCAGGTGTTGGCATCTCCATCACCGCATACCCCGCCGGACACATGATTGGTGCGTATGTGTGTATGTGTGTGCGTATGTGATTGCTGTGGTGACATCACTTGCACGCTGCTTGACGAACGACATGTCTCTTCTTGTGTACAGCCTACCCACTCCCTCATGGTTTCACACACACACACTCCCCGGCAGGCGGCAGCGTGTGGCGGATCACCAAAGACGGCGAGAACGTGGTGTATGCGGTTGACTACAACCACCGGCGCGAGTGGCACCTCAACAGCACCTCCCTGGACATTCTCACGTGGCCGGCCATCCTCATCACAGACACCCTCAACGTCGCCTACACGTCCCCAAAGCGGCGCGAAGTGCTCGGGCAGCTGCTGGCCGCCGTGCGCGAGAGTCTCAACAAACAGGCAAACGTCCTCGTCCTCGCCGACACGGCCGGCAGGTGTGTCTGTGTTGGGGGGGGGGGGTTTGTTGTGCTTGCTGTGTTTGCTGTGCTTGTTGTGTTGTGTTACATGTGTGAAAGATGATATTCAATCTTATTCCCTTCCACCCACTTGCTCACATCCTCTCCCTTTCTAATTCTCCCCCCCCCCCCTCCCAAAGGTCGTTTGAGCTGCTGCAGGTGCTGGATCAGCTCGCGGGGAAGATGTCCGGCGCATCGCAGTTCTTCTTTGTCGGCGCGTGCACACAAGTCGTCATGGACACCGTCACCACAATGGTGTGTGTGTGTCTGTGTGTCTGTGTGTCTGTGTGTTTTGGGTGCAACATCACCGCCTCCTGTCCTCCCTCACCTCTTTTGCCCTTGCAGGTGGACTTCTTGTCCGACGGGCTTCAAGCCCAGATGAACGAGCACAAGGCCATGCCGTTTCGCTTCCCGAACATCAAACGCGTGCAGTCGCTCGACGCCATCAACGCGCACCCAGGACCAAAGGTAGGGGTGTGTGTGTGCGTGTGTGTCTGTGTGTGTGTCTGTGTGTGTCTGTGTGTGTGTGTCTGTGTGTGTGTGTGTCTATGTGTGTGTGTGACAATGTTTGAAATCATCGTTTGGCTTTGCATCTACATGTCCTCACCTGCTCCTTCTCCTCAAAACACCACCCCACCACCACCACCACCTTTTGACGTGATCGTGGACAGGTTGTTGTGACGGCGGAACTTGGGCTGGAGGCCGGGTTCTCGCGCCAGCTCTTTGCGCAGTGGGCGGCAAACCCAGACAACGCCATCATCTTCACACGTGAGAGCCGGAGGGGGGGGGGGCTGCGTCGACTGTTGCTGTGCTTGTGTCTACCTGGTCCATTTTGCGTGGCTTGTGGGTGAACTTGATTTATTGTCCAACTGCCTGCTTCCATCTTGCACTCATTTGTCGTTTCCTCGCTCGTGTCAACAGGGCGGCCCGATGAAGACACGCTTGCACACAGCATCTACCACAACACGGCGCCAGACACGCTGCAGGTGAAGAGAGTGAGAGTGTGTGTGTGTGGGTGTGGGGGTGTGGGTGTGTGTGTGTGTGGGTGTGTGTGTGTGTGTGGGTGTGGCGTTGTAGTTGTTGCAGTGCAGTCGTTTGCCTCTGTCTTGAGAATACATGCTCACTCGCTCATCCCCCTCACACCCCTGTCACTCACACACCACACACCGCACACCGTCTCTCACCCCCCATCCAACATCTGCACTCCAGCTTCGGCTCGGGGCGCGGGTTGAGCTTGAGGGCGAGGAGCTGGAGGCACACCGGGCGGAGCGGGAGATGCGCGAACACATGGACGAGACGGCGGCGGCATCCGACGCAGCGGCTGATGGGATGGGGCGGGAGATGGGCATGGATGTGCAGGAGGAGCAGCTCAGCAGCGACGACGAGGACCACGGTGAGGGGCGGGGATGATTGTGGTGTTGGTGGTAGTGGTGAGAGGGGGGGGGTGATATCAGTGGTGAGGGTGGTGTTGGTCGTGGAGAATGCTGGTGTGATCAGCGACGTTCGTCTCATCGACAATGACGCTTCACCCCCCTCTCTTACACATCCACGCGCACGCACGCCACCATGCCTCCTCGTTATCAGAGCCATATGAGCGGCACGATCTGCTTGCGTTTACGGCGAGCAAGGCCGGACCCGTACAGCGCCGCCGCAACGCCGTCTTCCCAGAGGACACGCACACGGTGGGCAGGATTGGTGTGGCGCTAGGGGAGTTGGAGTTGGTGTTGGCAGGGGTTGAGTTTGTGGTGGTGTTGGTGTGGAGGGAGGCGTGAAATCACGTCAAGTCAACTTTTCCCCGTTTGGTGATACCTCTCACTGTCTTTCCGTGCTGCTGAACAGATGGACTGGGACGACTATGGGCTGAAGGTTGACATGTCGCGATACAGAATAGAGGTCGTCCCTGAAGGTGCGCACAAGCAATTGCTTTCACCTTGCAATGAAACCAAAGAACTTGTGCGACGCTCTGTTATCGTGCATGTGCAGACGCCAACCCTGTTCGAAGCACATGCTCCATCTCATTTCTATTTCGTGTTCCGCTTCCTTTTCTTCCCTCTCCTCTTTACGTTTTTTTTTTTTTTTTTGTTTGTTTGTTTTCAATCACGTGCGCGTGCCAGCGCCGGAGCCGGCGGCCGAGACGGCCATGGATCAGCGGGAAGATTCCTCCGCCATCCTCACCGCCCTGGTATGCAGTGCCTGCATGCAATGCTAAATGCACGCCTCGTGATGCTCAGCGACATGTTGACGGAAATGGCATTGGATGTTCCCCCTCTCACTTTTGCACACGCACATTGACAGCTGGAGAAGCCAACGAAAGTGGTGGAACACGTCGTTGAAATCTCGCTCAAGTGCAAGGTAATGGACACACACACATACACACACACACACACACACACACACACACACACACACACACACACACACACACACACACACACACACACACACGCACACACA